AAACGAGCTTCTTTTGGGATGAATACAATAGACATGAGAACTTTGCCGTTAGATCCTAATTAGGTACTACATATTGTATTGTAGTATAAATGGGTAGAATTCTATTCGCTGCCATAACCCTTCCCTCCCCCTCCCCCCAAAAAAACAAACAACTGTTCAATCTCTATGTAGTAAATGCCGACTTCTCTAAAGCATTTAATGAGTCTGTCAACTGTCCTGTAGTGCTTCATTCTATCACGGTGCTCCACTTTCCCAATAGTTACACAATACTGAAAAGACTCACTAGCCCACATGTACACAGAGTATTCGAACAGTTTCCAGATCATTCCAAGTTAAACTTGGAGACAGAAAAGCTATTTTTGAAGGTTGAGACCGGCAGTAATGTTTGGTGTTTCGCTAAGTTATGAATTCAAAAGAATTTACTCAATAGCATAATATAACAGACTGAAACTAGAAGCGAATCTCTGTGGTTCTTATCAATCAGTACCCACTTGAATTCAACTCTGCAACTGCTCTAAACTCGTAGATGAACATGTTTCCTGCGATTCCAGGCATATGTACAAGTCACTGATATTGTTGTTGTCTTCTTTCTGTTTATGAGCATCTGGAACTTACCCTCGCACTGTTTAATCGACACCCAAACTACAACTGCTCCTCCTTTAAAGATTTAATTCATGAGCAGAAGATCGAAAAAAAGCTACGAAACCAATCACCTACCATGATTTATGTGAGAGTTTTAAAAATTGTGTACGATATTCAGAAAATATTTTCTTAGGCACCAATCTAAATACTACGCTGTACATTCAACGATGCTATCTAGGGAGCTGAGTGAACGGCTAGGTTGTCTAAGTTTCTCATTCCTCTGATCTATTTTTAAGCTCTAGGAACAATACAATTTTGTAAAAAAAGTAACAAAGAGCAATTTAACAATTCCAAATATCAATGTATCAAAGTAAAATGAAATCAGAAATTTTCCAGATTTTCGTCAAATTTTTTGTACCACATGCAATGCAACCTGATGACGAATTGCTTCAATGACATTGAGAGATAAATTAACTTATGCATTGGATCGTTCAAAGTGTTTCATTCTTTAAAGTGGAAGATTAAATGCAGCGTAGCTGGCATGATCACGGTTTGGCACGGCCCAAGAGATGTAGCGATACTTGCCTTTTACCTATCCTTAAAGTCACTTTATTTCTATAAGCTTTGAATTACCAACGGCAATCAAACGTTTACTTCAGCAAAAACACAAAATATGACAATCTAAGAATGAGGTTATAGTTCTTAGATCGGTTGGTGAGTGCAATTTAAAGATCCCAACATGCGTAAGTTAGATGGAACACAAATTCAGACACGTCAAAACATGTACACCATCTCTACAATTAAGCCACTGTTATAATTTTTGTTATCTTCTCTCTGGAAAGAATTTCAAGAACTTTTCCTCGCACTGTTTTGTTAATGCCGAGGTAGACCACAATTGCTCCTCCTGCAAAATTATTCTTCAGAAGCACACTGAAAAAACTTCAGATTTATTCACTTACCAGTGGAGAAATGCCAGAGGAATATTGTAGATTTTGTCATCGTGATTGGAACTGGGAAGTATAGCATGTAGACATATATAAGAGCCAGAGTTAGATTTATTCCAGAAATAGCATTACTCTGGATGAACATCTAAACAATCAAATCAAGCTAAGAAGGTCGGGCTCTGGCAGATTTCTAGAAGGTTGGAGCTTGAATCAACCTGTTTCTCATGGGCAGATAATCGATAACCAAATGTAAGGTTATATTTGTAGAGAAATGACAGAAAAAACCCAATATAAAGAGCAAATGTGAAGCTGACTGTCAAAAGGTTATTGGCTGCAGTAAGGCCAGATAAGTCGGTCTGTAAAATCTTTCTAGAAAAGCTAACAAAAATAAAGAATGCTCATATGTAGAAGACAAATTCTGTTTACAGACTTTGCCTCAACATAGTTACATTTGCTTAACTTCTGCTATTTCTTTTTTTTCAAATTCTGACATAAACAAACCGAAAAAACTGTCTCTCCATCAGAAATCATAGGATCAAATATCAAACCGTAGTACTTTGCATTAAACAAGCCTGGACTAGGAAATAAAAAGAATATTAGCCCATAGCAAATGCAGATGAAGATCAGCACATAAGCACGAGCTCCACCAAAAAGAAAATCATGTAATTTCTGACTCCAAAGGTCGACGAAACGCGTGAAAACCAGGAAGAAACATCCAATACACGCTCCATTCCAACACGCTTTAATGCAGATTTGATTTAATTTTTCATTTCTAATAATCCTAAACTAATGGTTGAAAAATAACCGTCTGAAATACACCCGATCACATAAATCATCATGGGGTATGTGCAGTAAACAACTCCTTTTATGAAGAAAAATCCGAGAATTAATGAGTTATAGCAAAGCATGATGATGTCGCAGATACTCAAGAAAATCATTATTTTATAAGCGACCATTGCACGAAGGTCACGTTGTACTAACGCAGATAGGCATAAACCATAAAGAGGCTGCAATAGATTTATTTATTGCTCCTTTAGGATTAGATGTCATATCAATATTATGCAATGATTAAGTGTTATAGAATAATTTCCCTGGAGAAAACTACCTAGACTAACTCTCTACACGTAAAACTATAACGTATAACACTCTCAAACTTTTAGCAGCTACTAAAAACTCTTAAAAGGGCAAAAAATATAAATATTCAACGTATTCTTGTTCAACTTGAATCTATCTCAACTATTGCAAAGCAAACTTACAATAGCTAGAATGCCAAAAATAGTACAATATACTCCAATGGCAATATGGGGAGTCTCTGCAGTACTTGAGAGGTTTCTGAAAAAAAAATCACAATTTGTAAAAGTAAAAAACAAGATCAGATTATTAAGAAAAAGTTGCATACGTGCACTGATATTTTGGAGCCAGTTCACCATGCAGCAAAATGTGATTCATCAATGGAGATTGCTTTAAAAAATTGAGCTCCTAGATGTGACTGGACAGAAAGCTTAAGAAGGTTGAGATTTTCTCAAGTAGATTCCCCCTTAGGCTCTTTCTTTTGAAAATAAAGCCTTGAACCACGCTACTGATTTCGGAAAGATTGCAAACGACACAAAAAACAGGTAGCTGTAAAGGAATTAACAGACTATAGCATGTTCAAAAC